TGTGCGCGCGTGGGTGATCCTGGGGATGGGATTGGTTGGGGAGGGGGAAGGGGGAAGCTTGGACCAGCCCTGAGGCCATACTTAGTTACTTATTTTATTTGTGGCCTTAGAGTAGACATTTTTATTTCTTTCTACTCTGTATATTTTGGTTTATTTATTGTCTATTTTATTCTGCTGGGAGAATTGTAGGAATAGTAAGTATCCTTCTATTCTTTATTATTGTGTGATATCGATAGCAGTAAAAGATAAGGAATTGCCATATAGCATAATATCTACACATCATATACTCAATGGATGCTAAATTCTAGTACCTCCGGCCGAATCTCCCCGATGCAACTAACCATTAGACACATATTCCGCTGTAAAGTAATACCCTGTATCTATCACTGCTCACACTATATTAGTTCGGTTTCATCTGTACACTGTACACAGTAACTGTGGCTCCTGCATGCAGTACGTTCACTTATCGCCTAGATAGATGGTAATTATTCGGTCTAGCTAGGGATGGGAAGTTCTCACGCGACTTACCCTCTCTTTCACACTTTTACTCTAGACTCTGTCTCACGTTAATCTAATGTGGGATGCTGTATGCATCTATCCAACTTCGTCAAATCCCTACGTCTTTGACTCCACTACTAATCGTAAGATAGACAGCTAGGATAGTAGGATGGTGAATCACCGACCTAGATAGGTAATATCTCACGCGACAGACACATCAATTTTTTTCTTCCCAACGGTCTAACATTTACTAACGACAATTCCATTGAGTGTGTAGTCCTACCTAATAAGTTACTTAGACACACTAATTAGTCTAAGCTGAGAGCCATAGTAAGAATCTAAACCTAATCCCGATAATAAACACGAATACGCTTTTGCTGCCTATTCTATCTAGACTACTTAGTTTCTCGGAACGGTTCCGACTCCACTTCTCTCTCTCACTATCTTTCTTACTCTGATGCATATATTTATAAGCGGAGCTGAGATGATACTCACTCTATTCATCTAGGCAGTAGTAGACTCCTTAGGTAGATATGGTAGTTCCATATGCCGATGATATATATCATTCGACCCTCCTAATTAAGTATGACCCAGGCTCTTTCAGTGACTTACTTGTTTATTATAATAGAGAAGAGAATCTATCACATCTAAGTAAGAGTCTGAATATAACATTATATAATCTCATGACTATTCCTATTACTCTCTTAGTATATAACATTCACAATAAAGGTGGGTATAAATCTTCCCCCCAGAGAAGATCAAGGGTAAAGCGCCTCGCCGCTTGAATATATAACCGTATTCTTTTTGTACCCTTGTCAGTTGAGAGTGGGGGAAACAACGAAAATTGGGGAGATCTGCTGTAGTTTGTCTAGTACTCTCTGTTCAGTCTATCGTATATTCGCAATTCGGGGTCCTGATGGCGAGGGTGATACAATCAGACAATAACTACAGTAGACACGGGTAAAGAAACGGATGTATGTTGTATGCATGTGGGGACGGAATGAGACGGGTTCATGTTCCGTAGGCGGGTTTATTCTCGGTGGAGATGACACTTAGCTACTATATCGTCTTGAAACATACTAGTATATATGGTTGTGGGAAGAGTCTCTATCTATCTCTCTATTTGACTATCTACATAGTATTGTATTGAGGCTTTGGAGATTGGGGGAGGTTGAATATAATTGGGAGGGAAGATTAGTCTGCATAAAGATAAATAGGGCTAAGTTATTAATTTTTGGGTGATGGGGGTTAGTAAGCGGATGGTTTATTGACCGTCGGAGGGCCGGAGATTTTCTAGTTACCGCTGTAGATAGTATTTTATTAAAGGTGTTGGTTGGTGAGATAGCGCTTATTGAATACTAGGAATAGATTTGGGGGGAGGGGTTTGTTTGCGGTGGGGTTGATGGATGATGGTGATTGTAGAGTCATAGCTGCTGTTGTAGATTGTACGTGGGAGATAGTGGCCACGGTGTGTGAAGGGGTTTCCCTGGGAAAAGATAGATAGTAATGTAGTAGAGTCTGAATGATGATTGCTTCTATGCTCTGGGTATATCCAACGCTCTATCTATCTATCTCTCCATCTAACCATATCACAACTCTCAACTATGTATAAGTCTACCCAGCCAAGGCCTCTCCCACCCAATCCATCTGCACGGCGCTCACACCCCGCGCATAACTGCGATTCGTAAACACAAACTCATTATACATGATCGCTTCAACCTTCTTTCCAAACAGCACACTGGACGGATGAATCGCCACAGTCTGGTTGCCCACCACCGTGCGGTAGCTACCATCCGGTACCAGACGCGCCGTGTTCGTCGAGAACCCGCGCAGGAAACTCTTCAGGATGTGAATGGGCGATGGGTCGCGGACCGATGTGCTTGCCGCTGAGCCACGGGCATCGTTGGGGAGAAGCTTGGCTTGCCGGCATTGGGTGGTGAGTTGTTTGCGGACGTCCTGTAAATACCCCCAGTTAGTCAAAAGTTATCAGACAGTATAGGTTGGGGTCTCACCATTACGGATTGCATGGCCCGGTGGGAGACCAAATGCCGCTCTGCCCATGCCTTTCGATCGGTATTCTCCGCAGCGTAGGCCTGTACTGTAGCGAGCATGGTGAGATGGTCACCCTCTCGTCTGTAGAGATCACGACGTGCTACTTCGGCTTCTTCTTTCTTCTCCTCAGACGTGATGTTTAGGAAGATGTTCTCGACACTGAGACAGGAGATAATGTCGATCACGTCTAACAAGCACTCTGGACCATATTCTGAGGCTGCGAGAAGTACGCGACCCAGTGTCGGGGTGAGAGGTAGCTTGGCGATCTGCAACCCGATTTGACTGATCTTGCCGGATTCCTCTAGGGCTTCTATGCTCAGGAGTTGGAGCAGTGCCTTCTCCAAGGCCTCTCGTGGGGGCCTTGTCAGGAAGGGAAAGTTCATAATGTCGTCCACACCGCGGGCTTTCATGTTGAGCAAGGCCTGACTGATATCGCACCGTAGAATCTCTGGCGTGTTGACCTCATCCAGAGCCAGGTAGTCTTTCTCTGTGTATAGTCGATAGCATTGACCTGGGGCTTCACGACCAGCACGACCCTTACGTTGGATTGCGGCTGATTTGGAGATGGGCTTGACTAGCAGCGAGTCCAGTCCAAGACGTGAGCGGAATTGCTTGACCTTGGCCTTTCCACAGTCCACGACGAACCGTACGCCTGAGACTGTAACGGAGGTTTCTGCAATGTTCGTAGCTAGAATAATCTTGCGGGTCCGTGGAGGAGCAGGAACGAACACCCGTTGTTGAGCTGCTTGAGGGAGCGCTGCGAAGAGTGGGAGTACTTGAATCTTGGGCAGCGCCGGATCCATTCCGGTTGCGTACTCGTTGACGAGGTTCTCCAACGCCTCCACCGTCTCTTGACCAGTCAGGAAGACCAGAATGTCTCCGGGCAACGGCTCCTTGTAATGAATCTGGAAGATGACCTTGAGAGCTGCATCAACAAAGTCATGCACTGGTTCGGGAGAGTAGATCGTCTTGACGGGGAACTGACGTCCCTTGATATGGCACACAGCAATATCATCCTCACTCTTCTGATCTGCAGAATCCCCATTCGTTTCCTTCTTAGCTCCCTCAATCGCACGCGGACTCCCCTGGAATCCTTCCTTGAAGAAGCCCATCAGACTCTCCATATCCGCCGTGGCACTCATCACCACAACCTTCAAAGGCACACCACCCCGTCCTTCCCTCTTCCCTGAAACCAAATTCCTCAAGAATCCCAGCACTTGATCAACATTGACACCACGCTCGTGCACTTCATCCACCACGATGGCACTATACTTCGTCAACCACGGATCATGCAGCATCTCCTGCAACAGCATTCCCTCAGTCAAAAACTTGACCTGCGTACTCGGCGACGTCGACGTATCAAACCGAACCGAATATCCAACCTTACTCGCAGGCGACGAATTGCCCAACGGGGTTCCCATTTCCTCCGCCACACGTCTTGCCAGCGAGATCGCCGCCACTCGTCTCGGCTGCGTGATCGCAATGCACCCTCCAACCGGGATCTCCTTCTCCGCACCATCACGGTCCCGCACGACCGTCTTAGCCGACCGACACCACTTCTCATTGACCAAAAACTGAGGAATCTGTGTACTCTTTCCACTACCCGTCTCACCAACCAACAGCATCACATCGTTCTTGCGCAAGTAGCCGCGGATTTCGTCGCCGTGAGGGAAAATAGGGAGGTTCTTGCGCTGTTGGTATAACGCTTGCGCCTTTTCTCGTAGCGGAGTAAAATTGGTATTCTTGAACTTTTGTTGCTTGTCTTTCCGTTTTCCATCCTTCACTGAGTTTTGTAGTTGCGATTGTTCTTGCTTCTGCTTCTTGATCGCTGGCGTGTCGTCCGAGACGGGGCCGTCTCCATTCTGCTCAGGCTGAGGGGGTACTTCCATGTTGAGATTCTCTGTCTTACCCCCCTTCACGATAAAGCCATTTTCATGCTTCCGCTTCTTGTGCTTCCGCTTGTGGTCGTCTTCCTTGCTGTGGATTTTGCGCTTCGTGACGGGTGCGGAGTTGTCTTGTTCGGCTTTTTGCGACGACGGTTTGCTAGGGGCGGGGGCGGGGACGGCGTCGCCCTCGTCGTTGAAAACGGTACGGACCCTCTCCGGCATGGTGATTGTGTGTGAGGGGTTTATTAGAGAGAAGGGTAAAGAACTAGAGGCGTAACGTCATGTCGCAAGTCAAGTTGGGATGGGGAATCTTGTCGGCGGAGTTGCGGATCCCCGAAATTTTTTGCTTATCGATAAGCGGCTGCTTGGCAGTTGTCTAGACCCAAGATATTGTACTTGTTCTACGGAGGACTTCTAAACAACAACAATAGTCCATTTAATTCGTGATATCATGTTCAATTCATTTAATCTAGCATATCCGTCATTTCTGTTGGTTATATATTGCGAATTACTGTTGCTTTATCCCATACCCTTTTACCGTTCATATAACCTCTATATCCTACGTCAATTCATACCCCAGCCGCGCACTCGTCGGAAGACAAACGCCCGGTCGTTTTTGAGTCCGAATTCCGCCCAGTCGTCAGTCAGCCTGTTGTAACTCCAGTAGCCCTTCCAGGCCAGCTTGGTGTTCTTGGACGGATTGGGTGGCGTCATGTTAGCGTTAGCGGGTTTGGCTGCTGACACCGACCGAAGCGAGAGGTGCAAGAGGTACATGTACTTCGGACCGGCTCCCTCGGTTTCAATGACCAGATCCCGAGGATCAGGCGGTGCGCCCGCTGATTGGGCCTTGACGGGCAAGGAGTCGTATCCGGAGATAAGATCGTCCTGAGGAACGTCGTCGGCTGCATCAGAGGCGGGGGCCGGTTTGGCCAAGCGCCAACGACCTCGGTAAGCTTGCCTCAGCGCACCCATGGCGACAGGAGGAATGGTATCGGTAGGGCCCGTGATGGTGTTGCCTGGGTCTGCCATATGACGATGGAACTGCTTCTGGGAAATTGCCCGTGCAGCCTTGACGTTTTCCTTGCTGATGTAGGGCACCACCTCCAATGGCTCGACCGTGGTAAGTAAATAGACGACTGTCCCGTCCGGATAGAAGCGTAGATAGCGGTAGTAGGTCACGATGTGAATGGGGCTGTTCCACGAGGTGTTCTGGTACACCGAGGCTGCACCGGGACGGGTGTAGTTCACAGTACTAATGTAGATACCCGTAAACCGAATACGAGGGAATATCTGGAAGACCTCCGCCCAAGACGATAACGGTTCCGGGATTTGGACTGGCATTGATTGAGGGAAGGGCGTGTACCGCGGTCCTAGAGTGTACTCCGGTATGCCATGAATGTCACAAGCAAAAGAGTAGTGCATGGCCTTGAATCCGAACTCGGAGCCCTGGCAAAGGCGTTTCCAGATGTGTTGCTCATGCGCAAAGTGATATGCCAGTCTCTTACAAACGAGCGCCACCCGACAGAATGATGCCGGATCTATCACAGCCACATGTCTCAAAATTTCGACCAGAACCTCGGACGGAACCTTCGAAATAGGGCACGGCGGCGGAGGGGTATTCTCGATCAAGGGCTCGGCCTGCGGGATAGGAAGATGAGCAAATGAAGCGATGAGTTCCGGGGTTGGTATGATCTCAGGTTCATCTGCAGCTGGTTGTGTTGCCGTGGCACTGCTGACCGCAGCATTGGCAGGTGGCTGCGCATTCTTCTTCCATGCCCAGGCGAAATGCTTGTTTCGGTAGGTCTTATCGACTGCTGCATCTAACTGTACCCAGAGTTGTCAGAAGAGTTCTCTTGGTACAGAGCTATTCACTTACACGGTAAGCCTTGCGATAGTGTTGCAGACTGTCTCCGAGGTTCCCCTCGGCCTCCTTCTCGACCGCTCTTTCAAAGTGCTCCAATGCAGACTTGGGCTCACTTCGAGGGACTCGTGAGTGAAACGCATCCTCATCCGCTACCCCTAAGCTCAAATGACCGACTCCATGGACAATCTCACTATGATCGACCGATGCCACTCCACCGTCTTCCTCGTCCTTGCGCTCCGCTACTTCATGGTGGGTAGGCGGGAATTGGCTCGACGGGGCTGCGGAGGATTTTGTTGGCCTGGGCTGCGCTGGTTGAGGCCTCGATGGCTTCGCGCGGCGCGCAACTTCCTCACGCCACTGGCGCCGAAACGATTCGAGCTCTGCGTTGTCCTCCATGGCCGCTAGGGGAGTTGGATGCAGTGGGTGCGGCGGCGATCTGGGTCCGCCGCGATTGATAAGCAATTATCTCTCGGGCGGGACCTGGAATGTCGGCGACCAAATGGATAGAAGGAAAGAAAAGAAAGGAAATGGAAAAGGTAGAAAGAAAAAGTAGCCAGAGTACAACTCTAACACTCCATTGTAGTTCTTGTTGTCCACAGTCTCACAAACAACGAATCAGTCAGATACGGTGTCAGTGGAAGAGGCAAGAGAGGAAAGGGACCAAGTGCTTATCTCCGGCACTTCCATCGAAGCTGTTCGGCTCCACGCGCCACCGCCAAACCTTCCGAGCCCCGATCGCTCTTTTTCTCTCTGACGCATTTGCTGCCCCCCTCTGACGTCTGCTGAAGATCCCTCCCTCCCCTACGCCATCAATCTCCCTAGCGATATTTAGCAGCAGAGGCACGCGTCCATAATTCATCCGCATCTCTGTCTTCTTCCGATCCTTCGCCGTTGAATGAATGTCCGCTACCACTACTGATCTTGCGCCCGGGGACCGATATCGCTCCGACGGTTTGAGCGGCGCTGTACCCACGAACAACCTGGCAGAGTCATGGCCATCAGTTAAAAACACTATTCCAATGGCGACTACATCTGGGACAGGCTCGGTTCCAGCACAGAGCGCCATGCAGCAGACGGAGGATGTCTCGATCGCTCAAAGGATGGTTTCGGCCACCATCGGCAGTTTTCTCACGAATATTCTAGGTAGGCAAGGTCGCAACTGAGAACCTGAGGCGTGAGATGCTGATACTGCTGTCTAGTTACACCTCTTGACGTCGTTCGGGTTCGTCTACAGTCTCAGTCGCTGGTCAAAAACACATCGCCCTTCAACTCACACACCACGCAAACTTTCAAGAACGCTCCCCCCAATCTTGGAGTAACAGCTTGTTGTCGGGAAGTCTTTTGGATTGGACAGAATACTCAGATATGTATGCTCGGACCTGAGGCCGGGGCTCTCGGGGCTACATCGGTCGCGGATTGCGCCGTGGAAGAAACGCAGCGCAAAACATTCACATCGACCTTGGATGGATTGCGGAAGATCGCGCGAAATGAGGGTGTGCTGACCCTCTGGCGTGGACTCAGTCCTACTTTGATGATGAGCATTCCAGGGAACATCATCTACTTCGCTGGATACGACTGGCTGCGGACCGATGACAGGAGCCTGATCAAGCGGTGGTTTCCCGACGCCTACGCTCCTTTCGTTGCAGGCTCCGTTGCCAGAACCACAGCAGCATCTCTTATCAGTCCCATCGAGATGTTCCGAACGCGTCTGCAAGCCACTCCTGGCACTGGAGCAGGCCATTTCAAGGCTACCCTAGAGGGTCTTTACCACATGGCTCAAACGCAAGGTTACAGCTCGCTGTGGAGAGGACTGACGCTTACCATGTGGCGCGATGTGCCCTTCTCTGGCCTCTATTGGTGGGGGTATGAAGAGGTCAAGAACTATCTCATTGAAACGCGCAAGAGCTCTTACTTGCACGGTCTGCCACACGGGTCCTCTGCCAGCCAGCGCCATCTCCACGACCTTGATACGCCAACCTTCTTTGACAGCTTCTTCGCGGGCGCTAGCTCTGGATCCTTGGCGGCATTTGTCACCACACCGTTTGACGTGGGCAAAACTCGCCAACAAGTTTTCCGACACATGAGTGATGTGCCCGGTTCCGCGGGCAACGTTTCCGGCGGAGTCCTCCATCCCGAGCAGCTCCCCCTACCGAAGTTCCTGCTACACATTTTCCGTGAGGAGGGTATGGCAGGACTTTTCCGCGGATGTGTTGCACGCTGCCTGAAGGTCGCACCAGCTTGCGCCATTATGATCTCAACGTACGAGTTCGGCAAGAAGATGGCACGGGGCGTCAACGAGAGGAGTCGCTCTGCAGATGAGTGAAACCGAAAAGTAATCCAATCCTCCCCTCCACAAAAGATATTTCATTTCTTGGATATGGCTCGACATATACGGCGTTCTCGATTACAGGAAGACCCGAAATACCCAACGCTTGGTCTCAAGCAGCTTGCATTTCTCCACTACTTGCAGCAATTAATTGCTTCTGTCTTATCGCATAAACTCGGCGTGCACTGCGTTTCTACCTCTTGATTTCTTGTTGATGTCTGATGATACCGAATTGTCTCGATAGAACTTTCGTCGCAGTTCCTTTCTCTTTCTTCCCGTTTTGCTCCATCGCCTCTATATTATTTCCGTGCATATATCTTCTTCTCGTCACCAGCGGTTTGCTCCTATGTTTGTCTTGTGTAAGACCAAAAGGGAGGTTTTGTCTTTTCGGGACGCAAAAGTCCATCAAACCATGTATATCTTGTATCTGCTAAGAGCGACCAAAATCTTCACTCCAATCACATCCTATATAGCTTGTTGAATAAATATTCCACCAGACCCTCCGGTCTACATTCTCCACGATTGCTGTACCTCTTCCACGAAAAACTTCCGTTAATCCCTACATGGGAAGGTTTGGTTAACAAGTACCGTCAGTACTAGTTGGCTGGGCGCTTCTGCACGACTTGCGCTTACTGACAAATATCATAGATAATTTCCGTCTTTCCTTGAATGGGGCTAATTAAGTTGCTATCTCTAGCGCTCAGGGCTAATTTCCGGTGCTGTTCTCACCTACTAGCAGGGGTCTGCCAAGTAAGGCTGAGAAGATCTTCCAAGACAGTCACCTGCCCGGGGGTGGATCAACAGAGTGTCAGATGATGAGGCTCGTCTTCCTTCTGAGTCAAAGCAGCGCACTGCTCACTTTTACATTCTCCCCACTTCGTTCAGACAATATGTCTCAACTCTCCTCTGTCCACTGGAGCGAATGTGGAAAATGGCTCCCGATAATGCGCTCAACGGGGAACAACCGCCGCGCATCGAAACGGCAGTGGAGTAAGTATCCGATGATCTCTCCACCATCATGAGCATAATAGATGAGCTGATGCAATGAAAATACTAGTATCGTTGCAGTGCCAGCTATCGGCGCAGATCCCAGGAGGACATGGCTCGATGAGGATTCACAAACGCCGTGGCTTCTTACCGAGTTAGCCAGATGCATCCCAACCGCTCGTGTTCTATTTGCAGACCATGGGCATCTTGACTCGCAAGATGATCTGGACTTATTGGCTCACCGGCTGTTGAAATGGCTTCTAGAGAAAAGGGGGTCAACTGTGAGTACTTCCACTAGCCGTGTGCTCGACGCAGAGCACGGTCCTGATATTGCGTTGCAGAGCCTTAGGCGTCCTATCTTCTTCGTTTGTCACAGCACGGGCGGACTTGTCGCCAAAGCAGCGCTTGTAATAGCCAGTCAACTAACATCCAGACTTGGTTCGATTCTGTCAAGTTGCTATGGCATCGCATTTCTGGCGACTCCGCATCATGGCTCGAGTTATCTGTCGGCTCCGGAGTTCACCAAAAGTATTCAGCACTTGATGAGACTCAAACACCGCATTCCGCCTCGCATTCAGGAGCTCTTCAAACCAAGGCATCCCTACCTCTTACGCCTTTCTAGCGAATTCAGGGCAATATCGGCGGATATCAGACTTTGGACCTACCTGGAGACCGTCGACTCTACTCTAAGTATCGCCGACTCTGAGGCTGGAACCACCATAGACATGCATGTTCCCATTACGTCCATTCGGTCTGGTATTCTTGGTTTTGAACATGAAAAAGAAACCCCTCTAGCTACTGACCACGTTGGCACTGCGTCTTTCAAAGGCCAGGAGCTTACAACAAGATTCGGTTTCATAGATGAATTACATGAATCTGTCACCGTGGCTATTCATCTATCTAAGCTGACAGATGCCCCATTAGACGTGGAGATGGAAGTAATGGTCCAAGTAAATGGCTTTTTCGAAGACACCGCGCGTGGAATTAGCGACGAAACGCCTTTGAAACTATGGTCCACCAAAGCGTCTCTCCGCGAGTATCTGGCCAATGGACCCTCTTCATGCCTTAATATCAGGCTTCAAAAGACAGCCGGGATACCAGCGAGCATCTACGATGACTCCTCCCTAAGCAGCTTTGATAGCAGACCGACTTCTGCTCATGTTCGAGCGTCAATGGATGGCATATTGCAACCAAGAGAAACACCTGTAGCGGAAGCCAACAGACCCGAAACTCTTCCTCACAGACCCCCATTAAAAGCGAGTCGCAGCTTTATGGGCCACACATCTCCTCAGATCCATATTACTGAGCCAGCCGTTGATGACTACTTTGATGTACAGCCAGAATCAGGTCAAGATGTGAAGATATCTGATTCACAAAGCCAGGATGAGATAGGCGATGCGAGTCAAATCGAAACGGGTGTGGGAAACATTCTGTGAGTTTCTATACGACCCTCGCCAGTAAAGCTAGACAGTTAACAGAATTCAAACGAAGAGCAATATCGAGTCCTCCCAGATATAGAAGCTTCCTACCAATTCCACCGCCCTTCCGAGATACTGTCGATCAGCAGAGGGCCGAGATGCCTCGGAAGATGCCACGATTTGACCAGCCGGAGCCAGGGAGCGAGAAGCTTCTTTGGATCCATGTGCCTTATACCCACACTGGATGGGTACCAGCTATACTAGCCAAGGCTTGTGGAAATCACGACAGGCAGAAGTTGTATGTAGCCCTCCGTATATTCAGACCTCTTGCTGACGTATCTAGCTTGGAGGAGTTTGTCAATGACGAATACTGGTATTCCAATCTCATCAGAGCCCGTCACCTTGAACCTCACGCTCGCTACGTAAGACCCGAATGTATTCACTTCAAGGACCGCAAGCCTCCGTCCCCCGATACTGTGGATGGGCATCAAGATCCTAGATTGGCTTTATACGTAAGTCTACCACTCTAATAAAGAAGCAGGATGCTCACCTTTCGTTCCCGACTAGATACCGTATGTACGTATTATCAGGCCACTGAGATCTCATGCATGTCTTGTGTGCTAAATTCAGGATAGCTCCACTGGGATACCTACTGGAATCTCGTTCAGCGGCGTAAAGTCGTCGAGGACAGATTGCGACAAGGGCGCTTCAGACCAGTTCCAGATGACATTTCCAAAGCGAGCCTGGAGTCAAAGCTAATCTGGAGATATCTCGGAAGCGAACCACCCATTCATATCCGGCGAACATTGGATCAGTTCGGGTACCCTAACTTACGGTCGACCGTAGCAAGAGATGATGACCAGATGCTCTGGAAACGGACGAAGAAGGTCGTTAATCTCAATGATGAGATCAAGAATTCCGCCGAGGCAGAAAACTCTACTAACACTAAAAACACATTCATGGATGGAAAGGTCCTCATAGTCGATCAACTCTGGTTATGGATTGTCGATGAGAAGACAGTAGTCACTTTCTTCCCCAATCAGGAGGCCACGACAGCCGAAGGCAAACTCTACGAGCAGTCAAACCTCTATAGCAGCATATACAACGAGCTTAACGGAGATCTCGCAAGACGCTTCGAAACAGCTGGCGACCTTGCTTCCTTAATCGTGTTGCATGCAATCACCGTCCTTCTGGACCGGACATTGCACCGTGACCTGCAAATACTCCGAATATTCGAAGAATCCATCAGCATTCTTGTGAGAACCCTAATTCTCCAATGTACAACATACAGCACTAACCCATCCAGACCGAAATCGTAACCAAATCCTTCAAACGCTTCCGAAACCGCGGCTTCAACACTCGCCCCGCCGACTATAACAAAAACGCCGAAGGCAGACCCATGTCCGCCACGGAGCGCGACGAGAGGGACAACAAAGTAGCCAGACGAAACCGCGAGGACCTCTCCACATTGCTAGAGCTGAGAGACATCGTAGACGAACTTAGCACCCTCCTCAAACTCCTCGAGCAGCAAGCAACCACAGTGAGAACCATGTCCAGCTACTTCGAACACCGAGGCTGCGGACAAGCATTCATTGAATCAGCCCTCTCCCGACTAGAAGAGTACCGGAACCAAGTCCTCGAAATGCGCGAAAACGCATCCGTGGCACAGAAAGCAGTACGTTCTCACCAACCAACCTTCTCTCCCAGACAAGACATAGAACTAACACCCCCAAAACCAACAGGTCGAAAACCTGCTCGATCTCAAACAAAAACAAGCTAGCGTTGACGAATCCCGTCTCGCCCGATGGGAAGCAGAAGTAACCCAAGACCAATCTCGATCTGTCATGGTCTTTACAATATTCACCATCATGTCAGTTTCCTTCCCCCAATATACATCAACAAACCCACATAATTGACTGATATCACAACACAACCAGCTTCCTCCCCCTCTCCTTCTTCACCTCCCTATTCGGCATCAACGCCCGAGAATGGAGCGGTGAAGCAGAGAACCTAACCCTAGGCCAAATGCTATACATCTCAGGTATACCCCCCACCCCTCCCTCCTACATCCCAAGCACCTCCCTCCCAACCCAACAATAACTAACTAACCATAACCCACCAGGCCCCGCCTCCTTCGCCATAATAATGTTCGCCCTCCTAATAGCCTTCAACGAACGGCTCCGCGAAACCCTCTGGCGGGCCCAAAAACTCATCATAGATATAGTTGCAGATTTCCTTCTCGCGCCGATCACATTACTCTTCCAGTGGTGGAGGAGGATGGGGAGGAAGGGGAAGAAGAGGCCTGGACCTGGAGCCGAATCTGAGAATAATCGGCCGAAGACGACTGGTCGTCGTGGCTTGGGGAAGTATAGACGGAATGGGAAGATACAGAGACAGCAGTCTGGGGAGGATATTTGGTCGGAACATGAGGATAAGATGTTGGGGGGTGGTGTGGGGCGTATGGGACTGGTGGATGGGGAGGTGGAGAGGGAGAGGATGGATCCGTATGCGGAGAAGGGGAGGGGGTGGGGGGTGGATGAGTAGATATCTAGACTCAGTTGTTATTTGCTACTAGTTGAGATGGTAGAGGGGTGGGTACTATTTGGGTGTTGATAGATGATGGGTTGGGGTATTTCAATGTCTTATAGATGGGAACTAGTTATTATATATTGTTTACGATGTTGGTTGGCAGGTCCGAAATTATTGTTGATCAGAATTACGATATTACACTACTCCGTATAATACTCAGTTGGCAGTACCATGTTTTTACCACACTATGAAGGTAGAATGCTCATGAACAATTAATAAATGAAATTGCTAAACACCACGGCAGAGTGAACGGCCGTGGAGCACATAAAGTACATGGTATGATACACAGGACTCCCTGAGACTTTTTGTGCCCAATATAACGGAGTGGAGATGATAAGGGAGGAGAGGATATAAGAGGTGAAAGTAGGATAAGTCGGGTAAAAGAGGATGTGGTTAGGTGACCAAAGACGTATAACACATTAGAGACAAAGGAGATAGTCAAAAACCAAGAACAAGTAAAAAAAGCCATATCAGGACAATGCCCGTACTATGCAACAACACGCTGGAAGGGAAACCTCTTTAGAAACAAGGAACGGGTAAGGCTACACGAGAACGGGGGCTAGCTTAGAACATGCCACCGCCCATGCCGCCCATACCACCCATGCCACCCATGCCACCGGCAGGAGCAGGGCCCTTCTCCTCAGGGGCATCAACGATGGCAACCTCGGTGGTACCGAGGAGGGAGGCAACACCGCTGGCGTCAACCAGGGAGGTGCGGACAACCTTGAGGGGGTCGACGATACCGCTGGAGATCATGTCGACGTACTCGCCCTTGGAGCTGTCGAAACCACGGTTGAAGTCCTTGGCGAAGTCATCGGTGAGCTTGCCAACGATGACGCTGCCCTCGAGACCAGCGTTCTCGACGATGGTACGGGCGGGGCGGGTGATGGCGCTCTTGATGATGCTGACACCGAGCTGCTGGTCGAAGTTGGCGGTCTGGACGTTGGCAAGACCGTTGGCGGAGGCCTTCAGGAGGGCAGTACCACCACCGGGGAGGATACCCTCCTCAACAGCAGCGCGAGTGGCGTTGAGAGCGTCGACAACACGGTCCTTCTTCTCACCGACCTCAACCTCGGAGGCACCACCGACCTTGATGACGGCGACACCGCCAGAGAGCTTAGCGAGACGCTCCTGGAGCTTCTCCTTCTCGTACTCGGAAGTGGTGGGGTCAGCCATGACACCACGGATCTGCTCGCAGCGCTGAGAGATGCTGTCCTTGCTGCCCTCACCGTTGAGGATGATGGTGTCCTCCTTGGTGATGGTGATGGCACCGGTGGAACCGAGCATGTCGGGAGTCAGCTTCTCGAGCTTGATGTCAAGCTCGTCGCTGAAGACGGTACCGTTGGTGAGAACGGCAAGATCACCAAGGATGCTCTTGCGGTTGTCACCGAAGCCAGGGGCCTTGACAGCGGCAACCTGGAGCTGGCCACGGAGCTTGTTCAGGATGCAGACGGCGAGAGCCTCACCCTCAATGTCCTCAGCAATGATGACGAGAGGACGGCGGAGGGTGGTGGAGGCCTCAAGGGCGGGGATGATGTCCTGGACGGCGGAGATCTTCTTCTCAGAGAGCAGGATCAGGGGCTTCTCGAATTCGACCTTCTGGGACTTGGCGTCGGTGATGAAGTAGGGGGAGGTGTATCCACGGTCGAAGCGCATACCCTCGGTAACCTCAAGCTCATCCTCGAGGGTCTTGCCCTCCTTGACGGTGATAACACCCTCCTTGCCAACTCTCTCCATGGCAGTGGAGATGAGCTTACCAACGTGGGTGTCGCCGTTGGCGGAGATGGTAGCGACCTGAGCGATCTCCTCACCGGTGGTGATGTCACGCTTGTTCTGCTGGAGGTAGTCGACAACAGCGTCAACGGCGGCCTGGATACCACGACGGAGGTCCATGGGGTTGCAGCCAGCGGCAACGTTCTTCACGGTCTCGGAGAAGATGGCACGGGCAAGGACGGTGGCAGTGGTGGTACCGTCACCAGCGATTTCGTTGGTCTTGGAAGCGACATCCTGGAGAAGACGAGCACCGAGGTTCTCGAACTTGTCCTGGAGCTGAATGGCCTTGGCAACGCTAACACCATCTGTTACAGTCAGTACGGACCGATCCGCAAAGCTCCGTATTATTAATATGATTGTAGGGAGAACGTACCCTTGGTGATCTTGGGGGAACCGTAGGGGGACTCGATCAGGACATTGCGACCCTTGGGACCAAGAGTAGAGGTGACAGCCTTAGCAAGAGTGTCGACACCCTTGAGAAGCTGGGCACGAGCCTCAACGCCGAACTTGAGCTCCTAGAAGGGTGTGAGCAAGCTTCCAGACAGGACTGTCGAGAGCTCCAGCAAGAGCAGCTCAATTCCAAGCTAAGAGACATACCTTGTGAGCAAAACGCTGCTGCTGCAGGCTGACGGGGGATCTCTGGAAAGAAGCACGCTTGGCAGCGGCGGACAGGACGGAGGTCCTGGAAGAGAGAGCGCGTTGCATCTTGAAGGGATGTTATGGAAAAACAAGACAGAAACAAGGTAGAAGAGGATATTAGAATACAATTAGATCGAGGATAACCCGACCGAAACTCCCAGAGCAAGAACGGGTGTCAAGGGAGAAGAAGGAGAAGAAGAATGGATGGAGGAAGAGATGGAGATGGGGATGGAGATGAAGCCAAAGTCTCGAAAATTTTCCAGGCGATTCTCGATCCCCGGATTGTCTTGGCGGCAGAAGCTCCTAGAAGGTCACGTGGGGCCCGGCTATCCGAGGGAATCGCCTCGGGTCGTCGGAAGAGGTAACCCGTTGCCGGAGATAAAGGCTTCTTGATATTCTATAAAATAAAAAAATAACAATATATACATATGGGAGAGTTCCTGAGGATTTAACTGAAGAGCTTATAATATTAAGCCTAGGTTCTACTTTCCACTACTACTACTATCACCAGAAATATGAGGATGGTCAAAATATATTCTGGTGGAGGGAGACTACGGTCTTTTTACTAGTACTACTGGTTAGTACTAGAGTCTGTTAGTCCTCTCACCGACTCTCCCACCTACTACTATCTTTACTAGTAGTGGTAAAAAGAAAACTCAGAGGGAATAGTTACGGAATAGTATAACATTGAAAGCATAAATATCGTACTTACATATGGCAGTTTTATAATTATATTATGACTATTAGCAACTATTTACAACGGTAGATAACCTTAATATAAACTGTTAACCATAATAGTATTACCCTCTACAAATCTCCTCGGCCCATTGTATGGTTCTAGAGACAAGATAGTAATTACAGAGGTCATGTTGGAGAATCATAAGTGATGGGTTGCATGCAGTATTTGTACTAGTTAATAGACCGCACTTACGCTTCTACTACTTAAAAAGGTTATCAGGCGCTACCATACATTGCCAGTTCTAATACTGTAGAGGCTTAGAAGTAACTGATTGCTCCTTTCAATCTATTCCATGTCATATTCTTAATACCACATATACCTCCAGATATTCAAGTTGGGTGCTGGAACTTCTGGATTCTTGGAGACACATTGATTAAACCGAGTCTTCAAAAAATCATAGCAAATTAGTAGTCCCTGCTATTTTGCAACAAAGCGATCCCGCTGGATGAAATACTTACAGTACTATAAGATTTAAAGATAAATATGGGGAAGTACATCCGTTGAGGGCGTGTCAGTCACGTGTGTCACATGACCCAACCTTCCCGAACCTCCGAAACTCGACCGTCTGCAAAGCATCCCAAAGCAAGTGTTCCTTCTCCTGAACAGAATCCCCTCATCTATCCCTCACCGTCAAAATGGCATTCGCTTGGAAAGCTGCTGGTCTCACGTATGATATCCCTCTCGCTCTGAATCGTCTTGTCTACTCTGGATCTCCGACTGACGTCTTGGTTGACTTTTACAGCTACAACCGCTACTTGACCGTTGCCGCTCGCGCGGTCCGCAGGTCTCTCAAGGACGGTCCCCGTGCTGCTGCTGAGCGCCGCGGAAACATGGACTTGCGTTTCGCCAAGTGGGAGGTTCGTATATGCACGCCTGGCATACCCTTCGCCAAGTTCAATGGGATGAGGACGGTTTTAACTGACTATCGGGTTCCGGATATAGAACGGCAAGCAGGGTGAAGTCAAGTCCCTCGCCAAGGCCAACGATGAGGCTCTCGCTGCTCAGGCCGAGTCGAAATAAATACCCCGTTCCGAAAGTGTGTGAAAGAAGACCGGAAGATGTGTATTCTGGATGAAGGATGTTGAGGTCTCGGGTGAAAGCCATGGGCAGGAATGGAATAGATCTCTGTAGCATATTGGCCCCTTTGATCAGGTCTAAATAGAAACGAACTATTTCTTCCTGCCGTTCTTCTCTAGCTGGCTAGCAGGGCCCGCTTAACCACAATGTAGTTCTTGTGCCTGCGAGGAGCATGGGTTCCTGAATTGAACTCGACGGGCTCTGCTTGAGCGCGTGCGGCTTGTGTTCCCGCAAGTTTTGCCCTGTCCGCCCGACTCCCCGCCCTCCCCTCGCCCGCTCTCGGTCTGCTCCAACTCTCATTCCCCTTCCCCTTCGGTGCAACCCTTCTTTTTAGACGACCCAGACAATCTGGCAGCTGGCTGCAAATGATCGTGGTTTCACATGCTGCCTAACAACTCATTCCCTGTTTCGACAATGCGGGTTGTCACGCAGTCAGTAGTCCCGCGCGACATCACCGATGAATTTACATCCGCTGCCTCAAGTGAGCCACTTCCTCTCTACAGCCCGCCCTTTGATTATTCCACCATACAGATAGAGTGAATTGCTCGCTAACTATTCTTCTACCTTGACCTCAGAGCTGAAAACTGGCCAGCTCGTCAAAGATGATTACTTCACACTTTTCGAAGCAGTTGGGGCGTTGGAGGTCGGTTGCGACTCAATATGCTTTTGACAGACATCCGGCCGATTACATCGAACCAGAAGCTGATATTCTCCCATTCATAATAGATTATGGACTCTAAGATGGACAGTGGATATCTAGGCCCCGGCGAAAACCATGCGCAGGCTTTGGATGACGACTACGATGTGACGCGGGAGCTTAGTCCGGAGGAGGTCCTTGGTATTATGGACGGATTGCTATGTCATGAGGTAGGTAGAGATGTCCACACTCGAATTTTGACGCTGCGTCTGACCGTGCTTACTTGTCTGTTGCGATAGATGGCATGGCATATGGGCCACCCTCTTTCCCAAACCCTCTTCACATCCCTGTACCTTGATAAGCTCTTATGGCCGGTCCCGAAGTCGCTCGACGAAGCCACCTTCTCTCGCGGACGTGCCGCGAGTAATGACAAGGAAGCCCCGATCGTGCATCTGGTACTGCGTGCTTATTGTCTGGCGCTCCTCAAATGCTGCGACTTTGTTCATGCACGAGTAGCCACTGAATACTATTTCGAGGTTGGTTCTGGCTTATGACATTCTGTTGGCTCTGCAGTTAACAACAATCCTTCATCATAGGAAGAGGACTTTGTCACCCAGCTCTACAATCGCAGCCTGCTGTCGCAATTCGAACCGGAGCCATTCTACGACCTCCTTCATCAAGCGATCTACTGGGTTGACGAACAGAAGGACAAGTTGGATGAGAAAGTGCTGCAGGCCATAAAAACAAGACTCCTCTTCCGACGTGACTTTTTGAAGGGCATGGAACAAGATATCGAAGTGATTGAGACGAGGTCAAAGGAGCCGTTTTTGGCTTGTCTGCCCCAATTGGATGATATGGCCAAATCGACGACCCTTGGAGCGCAAGTGCCTGATTCTTTCAGTTGGAAGATTCAAAGAAAGTTGGCCAGCACTGTGCCTCCACGACCAATGGTGAATATCAATTTCGACGATGCGCTGGCGCATCTGAGACGACTATGTCAAGACGCAATTGATATCCAAGAAGTCATCGGTTACCGCGGTCCTTACAATTTCAAGGTGGGTGACCACATGGCTTTGTCGCTGCAGCAGAGTCTTACTAATAGACGCAGGTAACTGTCTGGACTTTGCTGTCACGGAAGCCTCAGCCATCAGTATATATCCGATCGCTGGTTCAGTCAATGATCGTAAACAACATGACGATACTGGGAGCCGTCCCGGTTAAACAGTTTCTGTACGATGAGCTCGCAGAGCTTGTACTACCGTCTAGTATACTTCTGCAAGCCAACATGGACGATATTGAGGTGCCTTCAGACCCCCGCTTCCAGATTGCCAAGCAAATGGACGCGTTCGTGCAGCGCTTCTCCCAGGTAGGCACTTCCCATTCTCTCTTCCCGTGTATAGGTTTCTATCCAAGGCCTGACCCGACTAATACTCCATGCAGCCTTTTGTGGACACGTTCCGTAGTTCCTGCCTGAATCGCTGCCGCATCCGCCGTACGGTTTGTCATACCATTGTCGACTGGGACAATTTGCAAATGGAGGTAAGTCTTCCGATATTTCATTTAGCATGGGTAGGCCTAATCCACTGTAGGCGGAAGATCTGGATGAGCAACTCCGTACCCTCAGCAAAGAACCCCCGCTGATGCTCGCTAACGGCGACGCAACGTACTCATACCCTCTTAGTAGCTGGGCCTACCATCAGAAACTGGTTCAATTCCGTCTCATTCTTCAGCTCGGGTTCGAGCTTTCTATCTACGCACCGGAAGAACTACCGGGGATGTACTGGTACCTGTCCCACATCTGTTCTACCCATCTAGGCCATATCGACCGTATCCGCACGTTCACTGTCGCCACGGCCAAACGAAACCTTCCCGATGTGGCCGCCAAGAAGCGCGATGCTCTTGAACGACATGCTGCCCTCCAGAAGTCCCTCAAACTGCTCGAACGGCTCACGACGCAAATCGTTGCGATTGACGCATTTGCAATTTCCCTGCACGCCCTGTACGTGCTCCTTGCTCGCCATCGTGTCCTGCCAACGGCCTCTGCACCCCAAGCGTACTCTAGCGACCGGTTGCGCTACGAACTCCGCATGAAACCCTTCCTTTCAATTACCTTGCCGGAATTGGTCCCCTACGATGAGTACCGCCGGGAAGCGGTGCTCGAAGGGGACAGTGATGAGATCGTGCTGGAGCGTGCCACCAAGGCGATCTCGGAAGCCCGGAAAGCGTGGGAAGCCACGCTAGCGAACGGGGCTTTTATCCGCGATTCCGATGGCGAGGAGAGCCCCGCACCAGCCATTGAAGAAGATTGGAAGCGCGACATCAAAGACACGAAGCGCGCCTGCATCGGTGCCAGTATTGCAATCGGAACAGTCAAGGAAGCATTGGAGAAGCGCACGCCAAAGGAACCAACTGATGAAGCGGCCAACAGCCCATCGGTGAACCTCCGGGTGACCATTCCAGAGGTCGGGAACAAGGCCCGTTGGCATGATTGGTGGATAGTCCCGCAAATCTCCCAAGCGACAGTAGCAGCCTCTAAGAAGACATGAAGGGCATCATCTCCCTACGGCGACCGGTACTTGCCCGGCGGGCGCAAAGTAAAACAGACCCTGGTTGCCCTTCCCGCCGCGATCCTGACGGGGATCGGACCACGCGACGGCGGTCCCCCAAGGGTTGTGTGCGTTCTTCCCACCGTAGTGCTGGAAGCGAAGACGACCGGCGCGGAGTACTTAGGCACATCGTGTGGCGGGGATGACAACGCTGATTGGCACCTCTGAAGCTGTGCACGAGAGCCGACCGTCCCCAAATGTTATCTAAATTACTTAGTGAAGCCCTAGGCAGCTGGTGTGGAGACATACCCGATGCACCATGAAGTCATGTATACTATAAGATACACCAAATATACCGATCACATCGATGAAGATTTTCAAATCGCTTACCTGGTACCCGACCTGCAGAGACAGGAAGGGAAATGGAAATACACCAACAATATCAATTAAGCAGATCGATATCTTCTTTCACTTGACACGTAATTAGATCACTTCGCATCATCAGTTAAGGAAGGAGCGATCCAATCCTAGTAGTAGTAGATTTAGCTACCTCCCCACTACCTACCAGCTCGTCTCGGCAGGAGCAAAGCAGTAAGAGGATGTACAAAGCAGATCAGCCCATACCCATCCATCCTTCCATTCCTTCCTTTCTTTCTTTTCATACTTACACTTACTGTACTTACCCAGTCAGCTGACCCCGACCTGTCAAACTGCCAGGTCAGTCAGTCATCCAAGCTTCTCCTTACTCAGTAGCTTTGACCTCTCGCTATCCATCTCTCACTGCAACATCCACCAGCCTTCTCTATCACGGACTTGACATCCATCATCGTTCCATCTCCCGAACTTACAATGGATCAGAACCGGAACAATCTCGATTTATTCCCCGAATTGGACGTCAGTTATGCAACGATTGCTAGAGTTACTAGCTAAGTAGGAGCTTGGCTCGCTACGATACCGGGGTGAATGAAAATGAGGTGGGAAACAATCAAAGCTACTAAGCCTGAAGTGAGTACACTAACTACAATGATGTCCTAAACTAGACTGACAAGTGAGGAGAAACAGAGTTACGTTGACAAACTAAGTTGACTAGATCATCGAGTGCGTCGATGACCTCACTGGACCCGAGACTGTGGATGGATGGAATGGAACCTAATGGTGTGGACACAGCCGGGAAGGAAGGCAGCGCCAGCCAGGATGAGAAGGAACGAACGATGAAGGAACATCAGATGAACACCAATGGGCGATTAATCATTGGGTGGGAAATTGCCGAGCGGGAATGATTCACGGCTGGCTTGGTCCATGCGGAACAACAGACAGACGGACAAGACACATTGAAAAGAACAAAGGGAAGGAAGGAAGGAAGGAATGAAGGGAAGCTGCAGAGAAAAAACACTAACGATCGGGAACTCAACAATTGGGGGGAAGGCATGATAAGATCTACTACTACTACCGACAATTTATAGATTTTTCTGCATTGCACGACTCTCTCCAGTTCCCGATTGGAACTTGTTGAGAAACGGATGGAGGGGGAAGAAGGAGAAGAGAGGAGAATGAGACAACACGCCATCTCGGAAGGTTCCATTTCCACGGCGCGGAATTCATCAGCGGGCCTCTGAAGGTTGGGTTTGAGTTAGTTGGTTGGTTATGCCATTTTCTGCTTTCTCTCTCTTGCCGATGTCTGCCTGACTAACCGGGCGAGTCAGAGAGACACCCGAGAGGAAGAGAAGAGAGCGAGAGAGGGAGAGAGAGAGAGAGAGAGAGAGAGACAGAGAGAGAGGGTGGGTAGGAAGGACAAGAGCTGAGAGAGAAGAGCCGGATCGGATCCCCTCCAAAAGTCAGTTCATCACCCCAAAGCTGCTTGCTGCTTGCTGCTGCTGCTGCTCCCCAGGGAAAGATCGGCTTATGCATTGATCGGAGGATCGTCTATCTAACCTCGACCATCTTGTCCCCATCTTTTTGTTACTATCTTTACTTCCCCAACTGTCACTCCTCATCATACTATCTCAGGGCTTCAACTTGCCTAAACCCAAACCTACTATCATTTCTGCTCGAAGACATCTGCTATTATCATGGTGATTCAAAATCCTACGAGCAGCAGCAGCCGGGGTCGGACCCATTGATCGGTGAGTGTCTGTCTGTCTGTCTGTCTCTTCGCCCCCCTCCTTCTGCCTCTGCCTCTTCCTACGTCTGGCTTTCCACTGTTTCGCCCTCCTCGGCAGCCCATCGTTGAAATTTGCGTGCCCTGCTCCTCTGCTCAGTCCTAAAACGCCTATCTCCGTCGCGCTGAGAGTTGCTGACGTCTCGGCCCGTCTAACTCTATCCTCATTCGCTCGCAGCTCTTTCTCTCCCTCTCTCTTTCTTGCTCTCCAATTTGCACGTGTCGTCTACATTTTTTTTTTGCTCGGTTCTAAAATCTTGAACACCTTCGCCCAATGTCTCACATCTTTACTCACGTTTGCACTACGATTAGAGCCCCGTTTCGGAAATTAAGCGCGCGTGTATGATCGTCTGGTTGCACAGACAGACGTTTTGTCTATCCCTTCTCTTCCGTCACGCACATCAATCCCCGAGATTCCCCTCCCAAATAGCGGGGACCAAGCAAACGTCTGCAAATCCTACCGCAAGCAATGCCTACATATCCTATCCGTCGCCGGCCGCGCGAGTGTAAAACTTGCCTACCTTGCCGTGCCAGCAAGGTCCGTTGCGATCGCAATGTCCCATGCGGCAACTGCGTCAAGCGCAACTTCACCTGCTCCTACGGTCGTCCTCCACCCACCGCTCCCAGACCGGCCTCCTTCATTCCCGACCAGTATGCCTCGTCCGCTACGACTCCCGCCACCAATACGCCGCAATACATGCCTTCCGCGGCTTATCAGTCTGCCGCCCATCGCGATGGTCCCTACGGTGCCGATCCCGAATCAGCCAGCTCTGCCAACCAGGATGGTCTATCGGAGATGGTAACGCTGTCGCAAGAGGAATGGGACGAGATCAACTCCAAGATGCAGACAATGGAACAGATCCTGACCAGTTTGGGCTCCCTGTTTCAGGCGCACGGCGCGCGGAAAGTCGCCCACTCCCGATCGGAACCGTCGCAGGAGCAGGAGGAGGAAGACGACTCGCCTGCTTCTGAGGGTATCTATGGATCAACTACGCTGAGAACAAACTCAGTCCACATCGGATCGAGGTCTGCTCTGGTGGACATTCTAGACAAGTCGAAGGTTTCCGAGGACACGGCGCAGGCGCTACCCAAAGACGACCTTCTTACCGAGCTGGCGATGGGGAACGAGTCGGCCGCCTACCCCTTCGTGGACCTTTGGTCGTCGGATCCGTATACGTTCAATATCTCTGGCGTGTGCAGTGTGCTGCCCGACGATGAGCAATGCCGAAAATTTCTAGCCTTCTATCGGAATATTGGTGCGGTGCTGTATCCCGTGCTGCCCGATCTCGTCAAGTTTGAAGCGGACATGAACAAGCTGTTGCAGGGCCGACAGGCCGCGGGTGGCGTATATAGTCCGGATGCTAATGGCCTAGTGAAGCCGTTTGGCATGAGTGTCTCTTTTCTTAGCCTTCTATTTGCTGTTTTAGCATCTGGCTCTCAACTATCTGATCTGCCTGGGAAAGAACGAGAGTTGACCTCGTGGGTATACGGTTGGTCGACACTTCCACACTAGCTTCTATTCACTTCATACTTACCCGCTTCAGTGTCTTGTTCTTACCATTGTCTGCGCATGTTGAACTATGTGTCTCAGCCATCCCTGGAGGTGATCCAGATCCTCTTGATCATTGGCAGTGTCTTGTCGTATAACATGAACGGAGGCGCATCTTACACGTTGCTGGGTGAGTAACATTCAACGCACACGAGGCAGCAGCTCGAAGCTAACGCACTTGACTGAAAGGAATGACGGAGCGTATGTGCATGGTGCTAGGTCTCCATGTCGAGACCTCGGGGTTTTCGCGAGCCACGCAGGCGGCGCGGAGAAGAGTATGGTAAGGAAAATCATCGACAATCATGAGAGTGACTGGAAAAACTTTCCGATACTAATGCGCAACGCAATCAGGTGGGCGATGGCTTTTCAGAACAGTCATTTTTCCTTGGCGTATGACCGACCATCCATTACCATGATCAACCAGCCAGAGATCCCGTACGATCCGAAATCGATGCCTGGTCACCGAGGGTATTTCGAAACGCTTTGCCGCCTGATTCAGGTTGTCCTCGACATGCTGCGAGGGCTGATGTTCACGCATCATTCCCACCTGCGGTACCACGAAATCCGGGAGTATAAGCAACGCATTGAACGAATCATTGCCGAGGCCGCACCGCATTTGAAATCTCGCGAACGCTGTGCGACGCTCGGGGAGCATATCGAACGGACCGAACTGCGACTCCATTCCTCGTATTTCATATCTCTCATGTGCCGAGTTTCGTTGGATCCGGACACTCCGATGGATGAACAGCGGCGCGAAATTGTTCGGGAGGATTGCTTGACGAACTTGATAAACACGATCGAGGCATTCATTGAGCTGCATTCCATCAATTCCCATGCGTCGCGAACCTGGATTAGCCTGCAACGAACCATTGCGTCAGCATTTCTTTTGGTAGCGAATAACAACGATCAGTTGCATCCGCAGACGTGGGACTTGATCGAGAAACTGGAAGCGGCGTTGTCGGACCATGTCCATGACGATACGAGCAGCGACCACAACAGCAAGACGGACACTGCCAAGCACCTTGCATCCTCCCTTCACGCTCTTCGGGAGGTCAGTGCCGCCTTCCGTGCGCGCAAAACGCGCCACCGGGTGGTGCCGAAGGTGGTACCCAGCCTGCAGAACACTTCCCCTGCCACCTCGTTCGCATCGCCATCCTCCACTTTGGGATCGGGGGTACCAGCGTACTCCTCTAGCCAGAGCGTTTCTCCAGACGGGCATATTGACAACATTCTTAACCAGGTTTCGGATGTAATGCTATTTCCCAGCATGAGTTCGGGAAATGCTTGACCCAT